GAATGAGACGTGACCAGCATGCGTGTGAACGTGTCTGAAACGATAGTTCGTTCTTCACATAAACGAAGAAGCATTGTAACGAGTGAAGTGAAGTTCTCGTGCCTCGCGGCCGTGTTTCTCTCGGTAATGGAAAATGATACGATGAAATCAAGCGGCGAATTGCAATGACTAACTGTGCCCTGAATGAAATCCCAGAATGCTAAACAGCAATTAAATCATCACCCTTTGCAACATACTCGTCAGATTCTCCGCTTATTTTGTAGCTGTTTCACATATGTTGTTTTCACATAATCATTATCCTCTTTACAAAACGATAGGCAGGTTAAGGTTAATACATAGAAATGGTTACCGATCTTATGGGTTTACTAGCAAATCTGTCAGTTTTCGATACAGCCGGTCAGAAAATAACATTTTATGTTACTTCCGAATTTACTTAGGCGGCCTACAGGGCCTTTTAAGTAGACCACAGCTATATGGTATTTTAGCACTTGCAGTGCACGGATGCAAAACTGAATCATTAGGTAGGGCCGAACAAAATCCTCTTCAACCACCTGACGATAGACCATTATCTACAGGCATGTATAGAAATGCCTTGAATTTAACAGCAAAATCATTAGTTTTCCATACCTCAGTTTAAGATTATTTATGTCCGTTCCTCTCAACACGTCATACCATAATAATAACTGTTTTACACTGACCGACAACAGATTTCTGCCAGTTTACTTTACTACATCATGTAGTTATCACTATATTTCGTAGCCCGTGTTAAAGCTCTGTTGATTAAGTACGGAGCATCCTTTGCTACCTATTTATAGAAACGATCGAACTGTTTCAACCTTCCGTTTGCAAGCCGCTCTGAGATTCCACGGAAGTAAGAACATGGAAAAACATGAACAGAACAGATCAAGTTCCCCACACTGTTGCAGTAATGAACCTTGAAAGTTTCGTTTAAAAACCGGTTGGATACAATTCAGTATATACACCTGACTACTTAGCTATCGAAAAACCTCGGAAGGGATGCAATCGACAATTTTCAACCCTACCTTGCAACTTAGAAACAAAATTTTAAACGACAGCTGGGCTCCATGAATCGATGTCACCATGCCAATCAAGACGAACAACTGGGCGGGCCACACATTAATATAGATGTCTCCATCGAAATATACAGACAATTACCAGTTACGTTTGTCACATTATTTGGTAGATCGTTGTTATGTGAAAAGTCGACTGTTGTATAATCTGTGCTGAAAGATCAGTCTATTTACCATAATGATGCAACGAATAAACATGACGATAAAGAATCAAACTGAATGACAGGTCATATGGAACAATCAATTTAACCACTCGTTGAAAACTGAAAACAGAGGAAAATTTTTTTACTGAATCGTCTGAATTGATAACAGGAAACGAAACAGTTCGTATACGTGGTGTGGCATGAATTTTATTAAGACAGAAAAAAATATGCATTTTAAAAGCGCATATCTCGCTTGAAATAAAATGAGTCACAGAATAATAATTAATAAGTTATTACTAAACCGGACAACGGCACAACGAAGTAATGATGCTTCTACCGCACGTAGGTGTAAGGGACGATCCGCAATGTATATTAAATTCGTCGTACAACACCGCAAGAAGGTGATCAGCGAGCACGTGCAGTGCCTCGATTTATATCCATAAATCATCAGTTAGCCAGCTAGTCCATCGATCAGTCAACCAAACATCACATTTTGTTTATGAAGGTGAAACGCTCGATGCACCTGTTGTCATTTGCTTCTTTTTGACGCTATCGTAGTCTAAAAGAGATTCATTGTACAACGACGGCAGTGCGGCAAACTAGCGTTCGAAAAAGCATCACCGGGCATTAGAACAGCGTTCTGCAAAAGTTTTTCTCTATCGGTAGCGGGAGGGACGGGTCTAACGCCAAAGAATGAAGCGTTTTCCGAACTGAAAATCAAAACCACAAGAAAGAGGTGCAACGAATAGTAACGGCAGAAAAACGAATCGATGGGAATACTCGTGCTTAATGAATGACCTCACTTTATCACCGAGCTCAACGAAACCCCTGGACCTGGACCGCAAAACAAGCTTTCCATGTTTCCAAATCAGTTCTAGAGGGAGACCAGTGAAATTAACTTAAAACAAAACAAAATCCTCCAAGGCACAAATAAGAAGGTTTAACTTGATCTTGGAAGAAAGTACAAAGCTGAACCTTCGACCGACCTTATCGTCCGAATAACACAAAAATTTAACTGCGGAAGAATATCGAATGGCTGGAGACTTGTTCTAATGTATACCTATCGGTAAAATTTCAATGGGCTTATTGTTGAAGAAGAGGCTACCGATCGCGAAACATGCGAATTGACCATGCAAATTAACTATTTATTATTATTACCAATTAGTCGAATTAAGAATACCGATTATTAATTAACTATTAATTACTGATCATTCAAGACCAAAAATGAAAAGAAAAGGACAGTATATTTCATATTGTTACTGATAACTAAATCATTCACTGAACACGGGTTATTTCCATCAACAACCACGCATTCGCTATGTTCTTCACTGATTTTCTAGTTAAAGTTAGGATGGGGTTTCAATCAATTCCTCAAAACAGCATCAAACCACAGTAATATCGTAGAAAATAAGTTAGCGGAATTTTAATATAGTGCATTCAACAATGGATTACGCTGTGTGACAACAGTCACACAAGAAACATTGAGATCCAGCTGCTGCCAGCATTCCTGTCAAGAAGACAAAAGCAACTTATTGCAAAAACCTGAAACTCTCTTCGTCTCTAGAAGACACAAAAGAAGAGTGGACAGAAGAAAGCCGAGATCTAAAAAATGTGGCCATTTGTGACACAACGCAATAGCGGGATGAAATTACCTGCAGCATCGTCATTAACCTCGATGAAAGGACATACTGGGTGCCAAGGGAATTTCTCACCAGTATTTCCTTTACAGGAATTTTCATAGAAGCCCTGAACTGTGTCATGTGCATTCGATATTAAGCCAAATTTTTACTGTAGGCACGTAGATGACATTGCTACTGCAATACTAATATAGTAGTTCAGACAAACAACGAGCTATAAGCTTCCTCTCAGCCTGGGGTTCGTGTATTTCTTGAATGCTTTCGACTCTATCTCGTAATGGGGTGGGGCGGCATTAGATTCTTCAGGGTCCAGAAAATCGAGAAAAGATACAGGGGCCCCATTGCCGTGATTATAAGACTGCAACTGCCAATGTAAATCTTACTAGAGCACAAGTAAGTTCAAATTGAAGAGGGCATCCAACCAAAAGACGTAATATCACGGAAGTTGTTCAAGCAGCCATGGAAGAAGCTTTCGAAAATAGCGTCGTGAAAATCAAGGTCAGATCACATTCTGACCTTCCAAGAAACAACCAGAAGAACTCTAAAAAAGAATCCAAGACATCTGAACGTTGCCAGCATCAAACACTGAAAATAGACCAGTGTCATATTTAAACAATTCCTGAATCCCGCGACTTGTTGAAGTAAAGAGACTTAGAATTCAAGAAATGCAAAATCACATCTACTTGGGACGGCTCCTCCGCAACGAAGGATCGACTATTTGAAATCAACAGAAGAATAAAATCGTATAGGATACTTTTGGAAGACCGAAAATGCTGCTGTTCGAGAAATTGCCTTCGTGCCTGAAACGAAACATTTTCGATCAGTTTGTGGTATCAGTGCCATCTTATGGGTGCGAAACGTGGAATCTAAGCATGGAAGCTACTCATAAACGACAGACTATGCAAGGTAGCATGAAAAGACGCATACCGAGAAAATAAGAAAATAGGAAAACGAATGAATGGCTAAGAGCACAAAAAAGAATTTGCGATGTCACTGTCAGAGTGAATAAGTGGCAAGGGACAAAGCAAGCTGCAAGAAGAAACCGACCATCGCTGGTCCAGAGAAACATTAGACGCAGTCCAAAGAAAAAGCATATGATAATTAGGAAGCCTCCAAATCGATGGCAGCATGAAGTGAAGAAGTTCGTTTGAACCAAGATGGCTAAGAATCGCAAAAAACAACTTTAGAGCAAAGTCCTGGATAGGTATTCATTTAACAGTGGAATGAAAAAGGTTTATGTGGAACAGAACCAGTCGAGGTACTTCGTAAATTTAGAAAAATCATGCATTCGAAAATCTTTAACTGACGGCGTCAGCAAAGCCACCGTGAAAATGATCAGATTTAGAAGAACACAAAGTGAAAACAACGGCTTACTAACCCGTATCCATCCAGTGGCACTTCGGCGCCTCCAGTGGCTTGCTCCGAATGCGAGGACGAACTGCTGGAATTCAGGCAGAGACGAGCTTTCGCATTTCCACCTAGCAAATACGTTACGCCATCACCGCAGCTAAAAGGCACAAAAAACGTTTATTTATCACATTCGAAACAATCAATGAAGTACTGATAATTATCTTAACATATTTTCCTGAAAGGTTCTCCTAAAAATGGAAGCCAAAAGTTCAATATAGTAGTCTAATTCAAAATGTCGAAAATACCGCAAGACCTCAGACAATAAATTTATGACGTATAGAATCCTTGACATGCAGAGTTATACTTAATTTATTTTCAGAGCCTATGGTCAAACAGGGTATAAAATTTTTAAACATGGACCTTGCAGTGAACTTAAGTTTCTAGGAATCAAAAAAAGCAATTCTAACACCATGGAGGCTAAAAGACTCTGTAGCACAGTTGCTATTTTCTTGTATATCCAGTAAAACAGCATGTATTTGCTTTGCCTGAATTCAATTCCAGTTGAAGGATTGAGTATTACATCAAATGTTCGAGATTTCGATACATAATACAGGAATGCATTATATACACATAAATTAATCCCCGCATTGTGGTTTGCCAGAAAAGCCACTTATTATGTCACTCTTGCCACTTCTCTGGATTTACACGGCGTAGCGCACTACCTCCTTTCATTTAGCAGCCCAGGGGACCGTTCAGGCAGGTCACGGCTCCATAGTATTTTATCACACTTGCAGTGTATTACTACATACGGAGATGTGATAGGAGAATGTATTATATATGGTTATTTATATAATAAACTAATTATGGGCAGCCATTTCTGAAAAACAGCACAAAGCAAAATTAATTAATAAACAACGTAAGGAATAATAACGCCAATCTGATGATTTGCCACTACCGACGTTTCGGCCCGTGTTTCACGATAGTTCTTCAAGGTTAGAGGCATTCATTGATCATTGAACATCATGTTTATAAAGTGCTTTGCATAGAGGTTAGGAATAGCATATAAAATCGTAATTTACAGCTCGTCAAGTATCGTAAGTTTTGGTTCATAAACCACGGTATATCAACTGGAAATCAACTCCTCCAAAACCAGCTTTCACGGCATACTGCATTGCGCTCTGACTAAAAGCTGCTTATGGAGATGTTTAAACAGGTCTGGGTCTGGAGGAGTTAAGTACCAACTACTACACTCTGACATACGAATTCATATTCAAACCTTTACGCGGTGGTACATAACAAACACCGTTAATGATAAACATGAACTTGCTCAACCGGACAAAGTGATACGAAATACAATCGAGCACTGCAGGCGTTCAAGAACCACTGAGCTGCGGTCACATAAAATGTCCTTCTTCTAAGCAACTAGGAACAGGAGGTAATGTAATGTCATGAAATCTGGTTTCAGAGTAATCATGCGCCAGCTGCAATAAAAAGGAGTCTTACTTATGAAACGAGTAGAAAGGAAATTCCACTCAAAAAACGTTAGAAGAAAATACATCTGCGGAGGAAATTGAATTACTGAAAGTCGCTCGCAAGAAAGCATTTAATTATTCTGGATTAAAAAACGTTTAAGAAAACTTTAATGTACCATTTAAACCTATCACTACATGTATTCAATATCATGTCACTTCACTGGATTCACTGGCCGTAATCAAACCGTCTCTTCGTTTCTAGTAGACCATGCGACAGCATAAGCAGGCAACGGCTCCGTAATATATTAGCCGCAGCAGTGCATAAGCACAAAACTTCATCACGTTTTTGGGCTGAACAAAAACATGTTCGAACACAAACGGATATATACCTAGGTCCGTAGGCATATACAATACACATTAATCTCGGTATTATCTGTCAGTTTTTGATACCGCCGATAAGAACACAATCTCTTGTCACACCTCCGCATCCACAAGTCGTATTCTCACCATCCCCTTGCTTTTAGTGACCTACGGAATCCTTTCTG